TATATTTTTTTTTTTTTTTAATGTATATTTATCAAATTAATTTCTAATAGATTACTCAATCATGATTAATAATTATTTTAAATTATTATTTATGCAATTATTTTTATCAATGGACTACTGAATACTCTATAATCGTGATTATTAATTTTATTACATTGGTAGTAGATATATTCGATAATCTTTAATTTGATTACATCCTGTCTAAATTTGAGATATTTTTGTACGGAACGTTTAATTTATCTGTTTTAATAATAATGATAGCTTCTCCCAAATATTTTAAATATTAAATATAGGAATATTCAGCGCGATAATGGTCCAATCCTTCGTTGCTTTTCATTTTTCATTAATTTGCTACAGTGCAATTTTTACAAAAAAAAAAAAAATTGGTGTAAACTCTTTAAAACTTCTATTCTTAGAAATTGAAGATAATTTGACAGTATTTTGATCTAGGAAGCTATGGACAGTGCACAAAAAGCATTTATCGCACCCATTTATTAAGAAGAAACTGAGGAGGCCACTTTTGTATAGAGATTCTGATGTAAGGGATTTAGCCGCGAGATGAGTTTATTTCCTCATTTCTTGTAGATTGGACCATTATTGTACTCATATATCATCTCTCTGTTTCAATATAATAAAATAAAACGTTTAATTATAAAGAAAAAACACACAGTAGGATGATTGTGTCTATTTAAAAAATTTGGTTTTACATACACGTTATATAATGCATATAGATATATATTGTAATCAACTTTTATACATAGAGTATGTATATTCTAGTCTAGAATATAAACACGTGTAGATAAAGTTTTAATATAATATATATATATATATATTTTTTTTTTTTAAATGTATATTTATCATAAAGTTTATAAATTTTTACAAAAAAAAAAAAAAAATGGTGTAAACTCTTTAAAACTTCTATTCTTAGAAATTGAAGATAATTTGACAGTATTTTGATCTAGGAAGCTATGGACAGTGCACAAAAAGCATTTATCGCACCCATTTATTAAGAAGAAACTGAGGAGGCCACTTTTGTATAGAGATTCTGATGTAAGGGATTTAGCCGCGAGATGAGTTTATTTCCTCATTTCTTGTAGATTGGACCATTATTGTACTCATATATCCGCGAACTCGTTTCTAAACCGTGCGCACGAGTCGCATTTCGATCGCAAATGCTGCTCTCTCGCAGGCGGGTTTACGCAAGAAATGTAATCGCCAGCAGTTACCTCCCGACGAAGCGAAGAAGTTTCGACCGAGGAGCTATCGTGGGCTATCGCGCTTTTGTGTACATGTGTGTGTTTGTGTGTGTGTGTGTGTGTGTCTCTCTCTCTCTCTCTCTCTCTCTCTCTCTCTCTCTCTCTCGTCGAAAAACTGGATGAGTCATGCCAGCGACAAAAAGCTTGCAGTTCTCTCTCTCTTTCTCTCTCTCTCTCTCTCTCTCTCTCTCTCGCGTCAGAAAAACAAGATTTTTCTTCTTCCATCTCGACGAAACTGCGGACGAGCTCTTCTTCGTCTACTTGGGGCGTTTTACCGCGCAACTCGGTGCATCGCGATAAAAAGCTCTCGACCGAGTTCGATATGTCGCTTGTTTCGAAAATTCTTTGGGACGTGGCTTCTTACATCGCTATTTATCGCTTTCGTCGATTTCCTCGATTTTTACCTCTCTAAAGAATGCCGGTTAGCTATTGTTTTTGTCTTTTGTCAAATACCGGTATGGTATTTGATAGAAGCTTTCTTTCTCTTGCCAAGATATAATTTATATTATTCCGTATGAGTATCGGAGTAAAAAACCAAAGTGGTATAATTTCATAGAAACGCTATGATTAAAAGTAGCATATCGCACAACACGATACTATGTAACGCCCCTGACGCTTTTTGCGGGAAATGTTTACCGTTTCTACTAAGCAACATTAGCGTGACAAAGCGGGAACAAGCGGAGCGAGTAATTAGTAAACGGCAAAAACATACTCATTAAAAACACAATATTTTTATCTCGCGAGTTATATTTCACGCGCGAGGCATATTTTACTTGCAAGATTCGATATTATTATCAAATTATTCTCAACGATACTGATATACGCAACGTATCAAGACTGTGTTTGGTATCTTTGTGAATATTCTACCTATATATACTTTTTCATACTTTGTATAAAGATTTGTAACATCTCAGTTTCAATCGTGTTTTTTTTTTTTTTTTTTTTCCGATAATATTAATAACACTTGGATGATCTCTTTCGATATCTTGCGAGTGTTGTAGTAAATGTGTAAGTCGGGTTCTGCCCATTCGCGCGATGCGGCAACAACATGATTCACGGCGCGGCGCGGTGCGTCTCGCGTCGCGTCGTGCAAAACCGTGCAGTTTCTTCCGCCGGCATGGCCAGCGTGCAAGTATTGCGCGCTGCGTTTTTGCCGATTTTTTACAAACGGCCAATCCGGCACAGTCGTGTAAGCGTGTTGATGTTGACTATGTACCATCGACGACGATGGTGACGACGGTGACGATGTACATGACAAAAAGCGCCTGGTTTTGCCCGCGATATTTCTGCGAAAGACGAAATTGCGACAGAAAGCAATAATGCTCTCTCTTTTTCGCATTTCTTTTTCCATCTTTCTTTCTCTCTTACATTTTTCTAAAATGGTTACATTCATTATTTTTATTTCACATTGCATTCGTCTACGCGTGTCATCTTTATGTATATATATTTTGCATTG